TTAGAGAATGCAAAAAATGTATATTGTTAACCAGTCAACTCGCTATGTTACTAGTGTTGTCAACGTAGATTGGTTACCTGTCCTGCTCTCATCACTTGTTGATGGCACTACAAAACTTCTTGGAGTTCCAAGGTTAGCATCTGGATTAGGACGAGCAGCTGCTGATGCAGTTCATGAACAGATAAAATCTTGAAAGTGTGAATCAATGGTTATTGGCATGTGCTTTGACACGATAGCTTCCAATACTGGAAAACTCAATGGAGCTTGCACTCTTCTAGAAAAAGCCATGGGACGTAATTTATTATGGATGGCTTGCCGTCATCATAAGTTTGAAGTGCTGCTTGCCGGTGTATATAGTGTTTGTCTTGGAACATCCACTGGACCAGAAATTTTATTCTTCAAAAGGTTTCGTGAAAAATGGACAGAAATGAATCACACACCAGAAGCCAGATCAATCCCTTTGATAATTGTTTCAGATGCAATTAAAGCATTCATCAAATGTCAACTTGAGGTCAGACATTCTCGAGATGACTATTTAGAGTTTCTACTTCTTGCTGCACAAATAGCTGAACTGCAGGTTGATGTAGCCATTCGCAAACCTGGTGCACGGCACAGGGCACGATGGATGGCAAAAGCCATCTACGCATTAAAAATTGAACTATTATTCACCGTAAATAAAACCATGTTTAACTTAAACAGCTCGAGAATTACAAGGTATTCAACGTTTGAATCGGTTTATCATTTGTGTTTATCTTCAGTCATGGTTTTCATGCAGGCTCACTGCTGATGCACCTGTGAATGATATTTTGTTGATACAGCGTTTGTATGACTATGACGATGCAGTTCTTGGTTTGACGATTAAAAATGATGATGCGTCATTTTTGGTACATGAATCCAGAATTGACAACTCTTGTTCTTTTTTCATCTCTTCTGTATGACAAAGAAAAGACTGATCTTGTCCGCACAATACAAGCAGATCGAGGCCCACATCTGATGAAAACACTACCATAAGTTTTGACAATTTTCTAAAACATTTTTTGAAACATCTAATATTGATGCCAGTTTTCTTGATGTACTTGTTGAAAACTGGTCAGATACTCCTTCTTTCCAAGTTGCAGCAGTGTTTGTAAAGAATCTGGTTTGCATCAATGACTCTGCAGAACGGGGAGTAGCGTTAGTACAACATTTCAATGAAACAATCACCAAAGACGCAGAGCAGAAACAGTTTTTGCTTCAAGTAGTTGAACAGCATAGGAAAAACTTTGCAGAATATAATCGTGAACTGCTAGCAAAAATTTGAATTATTTGCATTAATTAATATTCAAGCGAACTGAAATTCAATAAAATCTTGTTTTTCAATCATTTTTGACCTAATTTTTGAAATTAAAAAATAAAAGGCATTGCAGATTTATATATTTTTTCACAATTATATATTTTGTTTCATTTGTATAAACAAATCATAAAACATTTATAATCATATCATATAACACTGTATCAAAAGTTGGTAGCGAACGATCAAACACCAAAATCGGAAACTTTCGACCCCTTGGGGGACCTCTAAACATTGTCCAAATGGGCTAAAATTTAGCAGGTAAATTACTGTTACCATACAGACATATTTAATGGGGTGAGACATCAATATTTTAAAACTTCATATTTTTGGGACACCCTAATATATATATATAGTTTATATAACATATATATATCATAGTTTTTATGATTAAGACAAGGAGTTTGAAATCAATCGGTGGCCTATAAAGTTCATCCATGTTAAACTGGCTTGGTCTCCAGGCCAGAGTGTTATTCGAACTTTTTTGTTTTGTTCTGGAAAATAAAAAGAGTACTTTTGATTTGATACATACATACAAACATGTATATATGTACATTCAATAATTTAAGTCTGTTCACTAAACACATTAAATTTTTAATATTAGAAAACCAATTATAATCTTGAAGAACTATTGAGTAATAATTTTTTATAATCTTATGTTTTGTATATACTTAAAAACATATTCTCAAACTATGTCTGAACCTCATGTTATCTCTGTGTATATGTATGTGTATTTTTTTGAATTATAACTTCAAGCTTTATATCTGTAAACATATATTCATCAAATTGAACTATTCTATTGAACTATTATAATCAACCTCATGTTTTATATATATATATATATATATATATATATATATATATGAGTGTTTTAATTAATTGGTGACCAACTAAGTTCATCCTTCATCCATGTTGAACTTGCTTGGTCTCCAAACCAGATTGTTATTCGAACTTAAAAAATGTAAGAAACTGTTTTTATCAAAATTCATCTTGCAGATAAGGCCTTTTTGTTTGTGTTTTGTTCTGGTAAATAAAAAGTATTTTTGATTTGATATATATATATATATATATTATATATATATATTTCAAACAATAACTTACACACACACATATGTATATATATATATATATATATATATATATATATATATATATATATATACAGTATTGTATGAATTCTACCGAACTGTTGGCATTAATCAATTTCAAGTTTGTTTTTTCAATTTTTCATGTTAGAATTTTCCGGATATCGTTCATTTTATTGAAAATAGATTTATCCAAGTTCATCATGAAAATTTAAGAAACTGTTTTTATCAAAATTCATCTTGCAGATAAGGCCTTATAATGCAAGATGCATTTTGATAAGAACAGTTTCATTAAATTTTCATGTTGAATTTGGATAATTCTATTTTCAATAAATTGAACGATTTCCAGAAAATTCTAATAAAGAAAATTGAAAAAGCAAACTTAAAATCGATTAATGCCAACAATTCGGTAGAATTCATACAATACTGTATAGTCTCCTTCCAACATATATATATATATATATATATATATATATATATTATATATATATATATATAACTATCGGATTATTTAATTACCATTCTTCATTACTGGCCGCTTTTACTGTGTTAATTGTTTATTTTTAGTGTTTATATTGGTAGTCAATTTGTATTTATAAGAAAAAATTTATTACATTTTGCAGATATGAATGCGGACGCTATAACAATTCCAAAAATGTCAATGTACTTCATTCATGTCGTCGAAAATTTGGGTTATGGATATAAACAAATTGTTAATGTACAAAAGAACTAAATGAAACTCCAAAGGTTTTAGTTTGTTCAATGTTTTTCATTGTATGTAGAAAAATATATAATAGACTTATTCTATTTAAAAGCGTAATACATACCAGTAGATAACTCGGTTTCTGCTTTGACTACAGACTAAACTAATTTCAACGAATCAATTGCTAGTTTAATCAATTTTTTGGTAAGATTCGTATTTTTTCTTTATATAACAATTGTTTTGTATATTTTAGTTGGCGCAAAAATAATTTCAAAAGTTATACTTATTTAATTTATGCTATATTATTTTGTTGCAAAAACACTATAGTTTATTTTTTATGTAACCTATATATAGTTAACAACAAGGGGAGGTTTATATACCAATTTACAACACTTTCTTATGGGTTGAAGCAGGGATATGCAAAGAACCTCAATTTTTCAAACTTTTAATTATTTTCGGTAATGTCGATTTTATTTTTTTAATTTTATACCAAATAAAAGTAATTAATTACCACATTGAATAACAATTTAAAAAATTAAATTAATATTAAAATTAAAGCAATATTCCGAAATTAGTAAATATATACGGTCGTAACTTTTGACTCGAACGGTAAAAAATCACCCTCAAATTCCCCTCTGGAAGTAAGCTCCTTGTTCGACAGTTTAAAGTGAGCGAAGGCCGTTATATTTATTCTGGTTATACGATTAACAATTAAACACTTTTTTTTATCTATGCTACTCAAAATTATAATTCTGCATTATTTATTTATTTGGACAAAGCACGGGCTATTGCCCATTACCGAATTTACAGGAAAAAAAAATACATAGTATTATACATGCATACCACGATACATTCGTACAATTGCTTCGCAAGTATAACCACGAAGATAATGCATTATACCATGGCAGATTGAAAATAATTTCCAAAAACAATAAATTAACACTAACAGTGTCTTGAGTGTCACCATAAATGCAAACTTATAAACCAAGATATAATAAAATACTTTATCCATCTAACCCCATTAATCCCATCCTACACCTGAATAGCATAAAATTAACTACACATTTCCCAAGCGATAGAAAAAATAAACAAACATTCATGCATCCATCTAATTTCCTTAACCTTCCCTACGCATATACCAACTCATATACCCACCTACTCATGAATCATTAATTATTATATCAGATAATTATATTAGAACCTAGAAATTTCATTAACTATTTACCAATCAATAAAAAAAAAACCAAACAATCATATGAAAAACAATAATAATAATAAGAAAGTTATGAAGTCAATATAAAATATAATTAACCAAAAAATGTATAAATGAAATACGCACATGCATTCAACCATAAAATGGGTAATGAAATAATCAATCCAAGTCAATCATACATATTCCCAGTCATTACGGATAAAAAATAAAACAAGTACATATTTTTACCTATATTTATGCTCATATTTTTACCATATAATAATTATTACATTAACCTCATAATAATGAGTAATTCTCTCATTAATCCACTCCCGTCCATCCATGAAAAATTTTTATTCAATCATACTAATAGATTTAAAATCTCAAACCATTCATACTTATCAACACACACATCCAATTGAACCGTCAGTTTAAAAGTATCACCTATATTGAAATTTAGCATCACCCCAAAACAAATCCAAACGAGATTTAAAAACACTTGTATTTGGAGAGTCGACAACAGATTGCGGGAGTTTATTCCAGTCCGCGACTACTCTGTTACAAAAAAAATATTTTCTAACATCCTTGTGAGATAAACCTGTTGACAACTTCATATGATGCCCTCTAGTTCTCCCATCATTATTGAGCAACATGAACGAATGATCAGTATCTGGATTGGCCACTCTAGTTCTTCGATATTTCAAAGAATGCAAGTTCAATTTTTTTAATCTATCAATATACTCTAAACCATAACAAGAACGGATAGATCTAGTAGCTCTTCTTTGAACTTTTTCAATCATTTGTATTAGGTTTATGTGATGTGGGCACCAAACTATTATGGCCCCGATCGCACAACATGTTATCGGCTGCTAAACTCTATATATTGTTGATTTCCCCTATATGTATATACTCTATATATGTGGGAACATATATAAGAACAAAGAAATTACAACACAACGTAGTTAAGAAGCGTCATTGTACTTTATTGAATTTTTTTTATAATAAAAGAAATAAATAGCTAATTTAAAATTGACTAACATTAAAAGTTTGTTTGAAACATTTTTATATCTATTAATTAACGTGGTAAAAATGTTCTATTTTTCCTGGTTTTTAATGCTCATTCGGTTGAAATAAGCCAATTGCCCTGTGACTCTCGGAGATACTTTTTGTAACACTAAGGCTTACCTATACATTTATTATATATATATATATATATATATATATATATATTCATTCGTTAAAATTTTTGGTAATTGTTATACAAAGTGATCTGAAATGGAATGAGCACATCGACATGATCGTCCATAGGCTGTACCGTGCGGTTGGGATTCTGTTTAGAGTGAGACAGGTTGAATGTCAAGTCAATGATCTTACTTTATTATTCTTTTTTTTATCAACATTTGTTATATGTAAATGTGTTTTGGGGATCCGCTAGTAAATATTGGGTCAATAAAGTTTTAGTGATGCAAAAACGTTTTATGCGAATAATTTTTTCTTTCGTAACCATCAAATTCCTAGAATAGAACAATTACATAATTTTATTCTGCTGGTATTTGTTTATAAAATACTTATTAATAAAGATTATGAGCAGTTAAATTTTTTTGATAGGGTTCAGACAACTACTAGGCAACGTGGTCAATTGTTGTTAAGAAAATTTAAAACTTCCACCTACCAACGTAGCTAAATAATAAGGAGTCCAAAACTATGGAATGATTTGGCCATGGATGGTCAAACACATCTGTCTTTGAAGAGATTTAAGCTATGTGCAAAAGACGCTGTGATGACATATGGGAGTGCTAATTGACTGTGTTTATGTATGACCTTCATTTGTTGTGTGATACGGTAATTTTTTATGCAATGTAATTGTTTATTAACGTGGTTGCTAAATGCTTGCTTTAACTAATTTTATGTTTTTTTTTTCTTTTTACTAATGTCTATTATTGTAATTTTTTGTTTGATTTTAGTCATGGGTGGTCTTCGCAAGTACTTTTGTTACTTTTTTGATCTCCTGACTTTTTTGTCATAAACTTGGAAGAATATATATATATATATATATATATATATATATATATATATATATATATATATAAATCCAACCCGGCGCTTAACCAACAACGAAAACAAAGAAGTAATAAAAAACTAGCATTGTAAATAGTGACAAAGAAGAATATGATGCTATCGATGAAGAAAAGGAGACCAAAAAAGATGACCAGCCAATAAAGAAACCTGACACCTAATTTCCATCTAAATTCACTTTGACAAAGTCAATCTCCATCTAAATTCATTTTGACAAAGTCAATATTTCCCTATATAAACAGCAGAAAGCACTGATGATGATTCATTCGGAATCGAAATATGGCCTTATTTGCAGCATGAATTCGGAAAATAAGATTATTTTGAATTTTAATAAACTAAACTTTCACCAAAAAACTTTAGTGAGAAAAATTGAAAAAACGAACTACAAGCATATTAACGCCAAACATTCGGTAGAATTTATAGAATATTGTAAAAATTATTGTCTATTACCAACATATATATATTTTATTTTTTATTTTTATTTATTTTATTTTCAATAAGGGAACCAAATAAGTTTAAATGAAAAAACTTGTGGAGAGGCCACCCTAAGTACTTTACATGAGATATATATGCAATTTAAAACAGAACAGAAAATATACAAATTATA